TTTTTTTTTTTTTTTTTTTTTTTTTTTTTTTTTTTTTTTTTTTTTTTTAACATACTGTGAATTTGGATCCCAGCATTCATGGAAAAGCCTGCACAGCAGTGTGCACTTATAATCCCAGAAGTAGCAGAGATGGAGGGCTCACTGGCCAGCTGTCTTGGGTGAATCAGTGAGCTCCAGGTTAGTGGGAGACCCTGTTTCAGAAAACAAGGTGGAGAATGACACCTGAGAAGAAGACAGCTGCTGTTGGCCTCTGCATTCAACACACAAGACCTGCACATACAAAGCAGTACACACACGTGTTCTACACACACATGAAAATAAAAACACCACCATCAGTACTGTTGACATGGCTCATAGGGTAAAGCACTTGCTACCAAGCCTGATGACTGTGGTTCAACCCCAAGAGCCGCATGGTGGGAAGAATTACCACAAGTTGTCCTCTGACCTCCAAACACACAGTGAATAAATGTTAGGGAGGAAAGGGAAGTACCATTGGGCTGGGGAGATGGCTCATCAGTTAAGAGTATTCTTGCAGAGACCAGAGTCCAGCTCACAAACCCACACTGTGGCTTACAACTGTGTGACTCTATCGCAGCGGATCCAAAACCCCGTCCTGCTCTCTGAGGGTACCCCACACCCATGCAAACACAAACACACATTCATACATACATATATATGTATATATGTGGTTTGTTTGTTTGTTTATTGAGATAGGGCTTCTCTATCACTCTGTAGACTAGGCTGGCCTTGAACTCAGACATCCACCTGCTTCTGCCTCCCAAGTGCTTCAAGATTAAAGATATGTGCTACCACCGCCCAGCCAAGCCAGAATGAGACTCTTAGTTTTTGAGACAGGGTTTCTCAGTATAACAAGCCTGACTGTCCTAGAACTCTCTCTCTGTAGACCAGGCTAACCTCAAACTCAGAGAACCACCTGCCTCTGCCTCCCAAGGGCTAGGATTAAAGGCATGTGCCACCATGCCCGGCTAGAGTGAGACTCTTTATAGCCTCCTCCCCCACCCCCCAAATTAAGAACCCTTTTCAGGTAGATCTCTATATGTTGGAGGACAGCATGGTCTATACAGCAAGTTCCAGGACAGTCAGGGCTACACAGAAAAACTGTGTTGAAAAAACAAATGAACCCATTTCTTCTAACCTGTGGGTATAGGTGCCTGTGCTTATTTAGAGGTCCAAAGTTACCTGATATAACTGGCAAAAAATTAGTCCAGGCTCAGGTTGAAGGAGTCACAGAAAGCCTGAGGCCGTGACAGTTTTATTGAGAGCAATCAGACTTTTTATACCTGTACCAGAAACAGAATATAGTGGTGGTTGCTAGGATGAATTTGGTTGTAGTTGCCAGGATACAATGACGTTTGCAAGCTCTACAAGGATACATGGGATTAATGTCTAAGACTTGTTGTCCTGTCAAGCTTTCATGCTTCCTTGAATTCTGAGGGACAAACAGAGAATCAATCACTGCCTGAGGGAGTGCTTCAATCTCTCAGGACTTGGAGCGTACAGTGTCCTAGGAGCCATGGCCTCTTTCCTGAGAAACCTGTGACACATGCCTCTCCAGGCAGCTGGGCCAGGCCAAGTCCATGCTTCCCTGCAGTGTGGCACACCTGTTTTTGTCCTCCATTAACCTAAATATTGTTATGTGTTTTCCAATGGTTGAAAATTTTTTAAAAGGACCCTTAATCTCACATGGAGCGCCTCTGCAGTGATGCAGGTTACAGTGATGGCCACTTGTTTCCTCTGCTCTGTGGCTCCTTTTGTGCAGTGTGCTCACACTCCATCCCTGCCTCACTTGGAACCTGCAGGCCTGTGTTAGAGATGCGCATAGGTTTTTCCGCACAGGAATCTCGTGAAGTAGAACGGGATGGGAGGTGGATGGGGCCGCTGACTGGCTGGTGAGCACTGGTGTGTACCGTGCTGCTGATGTGCTGCTGATGCTTCCCACACATGGACAACAGATATAAGAACCTCAAGTGCCACCTCTCAGGCCTCTCCTGTGCTTTTGGGTGTCTTGACCACAGAGACCCTGAGGGAGTACCTGAAGGTGGTGATGGCTCTCAATTACGAGGAGAAGCCGCCCTATGCCATGCTGAGGAACATTCTAGAAACCCTGCTTCAGGATCTGCGGGTGTCTCCCTATGACCCCCTGGACCTCCAGATGGTGCCTTAGGTGGAATCCAGGTGAGGAGGTTGTTGATTTAGCCCCTCAGCCCAGCCAGGCCTGTGAGGAACTGGGTGCTCCAGGCCCAGCTCCTGGTAGACCCTTGGTTTCCCCATGGGCTCTGCAAGTCAATTCAGGAGGAGTCAAGACGGCTGGAGTTCATCTGGGTGATCTGTGGTAACCAGAAAATTATGCAACGCCCAGGTGCATATCAGTTATCCCAGCACTGAGGTGAAGGCAGGAGGATGAGCTCGGTGCTACCTTAGCTATATAAGACACCAATCAAAACAAAACAAAACAGAAAAAGAATCGGTAGGGCTGGGGCTCATTGGTAGAGTGTGGCCTAGCGTGCTGGAGCCCTGGGCTTCATCCCCAGCACCTGTAAACTGGACATGGAAGCAAAGAGCTGTAATCCCAGCCCACAGGAGCTATGGGTAGGAGTGGAGACAGTAAGCTCAAGGCCAACCTGGGCTACATGACATTGTGCTTGGCTGCAGTCAAAGCTCATTGCTTGTGTGTAGTGTGTGAGCAGACACACACAAACATAAACATGTAGCAGGGAGGGACAATGTATTTGGAGATACTTTTGATTGGCACAGTCAGGAAGGCCCCACTGCTGTTGAGCAGCAGAGGTGAGGAGGCCACTGAACACTGCAGGGCACAGCCAGAACCAGCGCTACCCAAGAGAGTCTCTCACACAGACACCACTGGTGTGTCTTGAGTGGCACCTCCTGGTAGCAGGCTACCTCTTTATACAACATCTTCCCCTTCCTGTGAGTAAACAAGTGGACAAACACTCCCCAGTATGGCAGAATGCCCCTGGGGCCCTGGGCCCTGTAGCAGGTCAGAGGCTCTGTGACACACCTGGAGTACTCTCTAGGGGTGACGTCAGAGCCTTCGCGTACACTTGCATAGGCCCAGCTTCCAGCTTTGTGATGGCCTGCCTCTCCATCCAGTGACCAAGCCAGAGAGACCTTGGGGTCTAGCAGACATTACTGGTTCTTTCACCTGTCCATCAGGTAGTGGTCAAATCTCATCCAGGTGACCGCCTCAGTTGAGGTGATTGTGTGCTCCCTTGTCACCATCACCTGCTGCCCATTAGCTCTCTGGAGTTGTACCCATCTCTGTCATCTCCTTCCTGCCTGGTTCCATGTGAAGGTTCCATCCACGTGAATGGTTATTCATGAGGCAGCCTCTGGCAGCCATACTACATTGCTAGAAGGAGGAAGACCTAGGTCCAAGCCAAGGCCTAGCTGGCTCATGTTCTGGAACACTCCAGTGGGGCTGGTGTAGCTACGGGGGTTGATACTGGGTGGGATTAGAGTGACTAGGATCAGAGCTACAAGTGGTGATTAACACAAGCAGCCCCTTTCAGGGTCAGCATCACTCTGCGTCAGTGGCAGGGTCACCTCAGCAGATCTCACCCCAAATATGCTGCTCATGGACCTGGAAAGCATCTAGCGTCTGCTTTACAGCAACTGTGTCGTGGCCTACCTGGCTCTTGGCACCTCCTCCACTGCCCCAGAGACCACCAGGCAGCTACATCTTCCTTCCATAACCTCCTTATGCCTTTGCTTCTGCTAGTCTCACAACCTGGAACACTGCCCCTCTGTTGCTGTTTGAGACAGCATCTGGCTCAAGCAGTGCTCAAACTCTGTATAGAGGCTGGCCTTGATCCTGATCCTCCTGCCCCTACCTTCAGAGTGCTGGGATTAGAGAGCCACCATGTCCAGTTTAGGCCTGTGGGAATGGAAGGATGCCAGTCACATTCACATGTGTCACCTGCTCCTGCCTGACCCTGCCTCTCATCAGCAGGGAGAATGGCTTCTGAGTTGCCTTTGTCTCCGGCCTCAAGGCTGCTTGTTCCTGGAGAAGCCATTGGTGCATCTCCAGTACCTCCCACAAATACGGCAGGACAGAGGGCCTTAAAGCTTGTTCTTTGCAGCCATGTTTATTATTTTACAGAGCTTCCAACTTGCAGCTTGAAGTAGAACATGAAGTACTGTGACTCGAGGCCTCTTGTTTGAACTCATATGCTCCTAAAAGATTCCCTTGAATGTGCATTCTCGCTGCTCCCTTAGGACACGAATCCACGCTCAGTGTTGGGGAACTGAGTCATCTCCCATGATGTGAAACTCCTCCCCACCCCTCCTCAGTCCTTGCCGGGGGGGGGGGGTGGAGGTGACTGGATGCTGGCAGCAGCAGCAGCAGCCACTCCCTAAGGCCACCCTGCCATGGCACACCTGTGATTCCATAATAAACTGTTTTTAGTCAGTGTCTGGAGAGTCCAATGCTCACAGAAGTTCTGGAAGAATTTTTTTTTTCTGTTTACCCAGCCACTTGGTCTTTTACTTACTGATTACAGCTGCCCAGAGTGACAGTACACACACGCAGCCCAGCTGCTGGAGAGGCCAAGGCAGGAAGAACACTCAGCCCAGGGGACCGAGACCAGCCTTAGCACAGCAAGAACATGTCAAGCAGACAAAATCTTCAGCTTCTTTATTCCTGCTTTCATGAAGTCACTCATCCAGCCAGAATTACACTTCATCTAGCCACCTTCACGACCCCCAAAATTCTATCCATCCATCCATGCTTCCATCCTTCACCTAGCTATCTTTTATCCATCTGCCTGGTACTCCATCCCACCAGTCTTTAATCATTCCTTCTACACTCCTACTCATCCTCTGCAACCTTCCACCTGTCCATCTGCCACCCCACACTTAATTTTTCAGACTGTACTAATTATGTGTCTGTGTGTCGATACGGATATGTGCATGTGAGTGCAGATGCCAGTGGAGGTCAGATCCCCTGGAGCCATCATCACAGGTGGTTGTGAGGAGCCCAGCGTGGGTGCTAGGAACCAAACTTGGGTCCTCTGCAAGAACAGTAAGTACTCTTCTGAGCCATCTCTTCAGCCCCCAACTCATTCTCACTGGAGGATTCTAGACAGGGCTTTACCACTGAACTTTGGCCCTAACCCCTCACTGGAGGATTCACTACAATGGCAAAAGCATTTTGGGGAGAAAACCACACGGTATATTAGATTTTCATTACTATGGCCAAAAAACTGACGTAAACAACTTAAAGGAAGGGTTTCTTTCGGCTTCTGGTTTCAGAGGGTTCAGTCTATCATGCAGCATAAATCAAGGTAAACCAAGAAACAGAAATGGGAGTCTGATGCCCTTCCTTAAGACTTAGGGAGTAAACAATTTGCAAGTCTCAGAAAGTCCTTGAAACTGAGCAGATACACAAGCGCCCCCTGCCCCCGAGGTCATATAAGCAATGAGGGTTGCTGAGGATGTGGACAGACTAAGCTCCCTGGAGGACACTGACCTGTTGAGCTGCCTACAAGTTGTTGAGAGAACTGCAGAGTCCCAGCTTTCACAAGCTATAACCCATGCTAGGCTGGGCATTGGGTGATGTAGCTGTTGAGTCATTTCTGTGCCTGAAAGTAACATCATTAGTTCACCAGAGATAAAAGTTTGTTCACATCTCTCCAGGAACAGCACATCTTGAGTTCATCTTTTCTGGAAATGTCCAGATATATGAGGTCCTAAGTCCATCCTAGTGGATAATGAAGAATAGCAGTCCATGTGGCAAGCCTGAATTGCAAAGAGATGGGACAGGGGCGATAAAGATGGCTCAGTGGTTAATAGTATTTGTTCTTGCAGAGGATCTAGGTTCAATTCCCAGCACTCAGGCTCTATACAATATACAAATGTACATGTATGAGCAGAACATTTGTATAAATAAATGTAAAGAAAACATTTTTATAAATTTTTACTTCATGTATATTGCATATATGTCTGTGTGAGGGTGTCAGGTCCCCTGGAATTGGAGTTACAGACAGTGGTGAGCTGTCATTGTGGGTGCTGGGAATTGAACCCAGGTCCTCTGGAAGGGCAGCCAGTTCTCTTAACCACTAAGCCATCTCTCCAGTCCCCTAAAGAAAAAATTTAAAAAGAAAGAAAAGAGAACAAACTAGGGACGTAGCTCAGTATAAACTACTTGCCTAGCATGTGTGAAGCCCTGGATTCAGGCCACAACAGTGAAGAAAAGGAAAGAAAGATGGAGACAGAATGTCAGGGAGAGGATGAAGTAGATTCATTCAATCTTTTTTCTTAGTGCTAAGAAAAGAAAGAAAAACAGGAAACAGCCATGTGGATATGTGTGGGCTGGTCAGTGCCCTTGTGTGGATATGCACACTGACTAAGTCTGTTCTGCAGCCTCCTCCTTCCCTGTTCTCATTCTAGCCATTGACTCCATAGTAGTTTAAAGCATCTGTTCAGAATGAAGGAAGCCAAGCAGGGCAAGAGTCTGGAGGCAGGAACTGAAGCAGAGACCGTGAAGAATGCTACTTACTGATCTCCTCAGGCTGATAGTCAGGTAGCTACCTTTCTTACAACTCCTGGGACAACTGCCCAAGGGTAGCACCGCCCACTGTGGGCTGGGTCCTCCTCACTGATCAGGAAAATGCCCCTAGACCTTCTAGTAGACCGATCTGATGGAAACATTTTAATTAAGATTTTCTCAGACATGTAGGTTTGTGTAGTGAGAATTCTGAAGTTTGGTTTCTTTAAAAACACAGAAATACTATAAGAATATGTTTTCATCATAATCCCAGGTGTGGGGATATGGGGCTGCTTCATAGCAGCTGACTATGATTTGCCTTTTACTCCGGCAACTGCCGATAGTTTCTGTGATTGTGGGACATTTGGAATTCTCGGAACTTTTACATGTTAGGGCCCTGAGAGGTGTGCTGGATTGGTGGTTAGTTGTTGGTTGCTGTTGGTTATAGTTTGTTAAGTAGTCCTGCACAAAAAAAGAAACAAGACATCAACTAGGTATGACATATCAAGTTTCAGTAAGACTAGGCACCTCCTCTCCTATTAAGGCTGGACAAGGCAGCCCAGTAAGGAGACAAGGTCCCAAAAGCATGCAGCCAACAGAGTCAGACACAGCTCTGGCTCCCACTGTTAGGAGTCCCACAAGAAGACCAAGCTACATAACCTTAGCATACCTGCAGCAAGTCTAAGTCAGGTCCATCAGAAGAAATTAGGTATCCTGACAGCAACACTCAAACCTGCCCCAAGGAGCTCGATGCCCCTAATCAGCAGGAAGTAGTCTAATGGGAGGGACACTCCCTTTCTGACTTTATTCGGGGATCTCTTCCCTCTTCTCTCTCTCCTTTTTTTCTCTCCTATCTAGTATTAGGGGGTTGAAATAGAAGAAGAGCCCATAAAGTAGCAAACACCAGCTCCAGCTCTATTGGTTGTCTTGAGCTACTCCTCTCTGTAGCCCTGGATGGACTAGAACTCGCAGAGCTCTGTCTGCCTCTTTTTCCTAGAGCTAGGTTTAAAGTTGTGTGTCACACCTCCAGCACTGATAAAGCTCTAGCTGTGAAACTTGAGGACCTGAGTTTGACTGCAACACCAACATAATCCCAGCACGTGGGAAGCAAAAATGGGATCCCTGTAAGTCAGAACTGAAGCAGTCCTGATGCAGTGAGAGGCCACGTCTCAGCAAGTGAAGCAGGCAGTGACTGAAGAAAATGCGCATCCTTAATTTCAGGCTCAGTACACACCAAAGTTCATCCTCCTACACACCTGCAGATGTATGTACATACGCACACACATGCATTACACAGCTTGTGTGTACACATATACATGTATTGTACACATACACACAGAAACAAGTGAGAGAATGCGGGCCCTGGCTGGTCAGTAGGGTTAGAAGTAAAGTCTGTCAGTTTCCTCTCAAAGTGTATTGAGCCAGCTTCAGCCCAGCTACAAAGGAACAGAAAACACTAGATCCTGCCTCTACCCTTAGTCTAGATGCCCCACACCCCCCAAACTCTGCCAAGCTACCCCCGAAGTGCACACCCAAAGCAGAATATGAGAGTAGAAAATTACTCATGGAAAAGATTATCTATGGCACCATGGGTCTCCTAAGTTTTAAAGTTTCAGCAAAAGCTAGAGGCCAACGCTGCATGCTGCCATCTTTGCTGAGGAAAACACCAGTGTAAGAGAAAGATAAGATAACATGTATGGTGTGGTCTCCTGGTTACTGGAAAGGGATGGAGGGGCACACAGTCAGTTAGAAATTGGCCTGTGCTTAGTCAGCACATCTGCCTCCTACGCTGAGGCCTGACTTCAAAGTTACATGTTTTGTCTCCAATTTTCTCTCTCTCTCTCTCTCTCTCTCGATTCTTTGTGTACCCTGGCCATCCTGGTCTATATTTCAGGCTGGCCTCAAACTCAAGAGATCCTCCTGCCTCTGCCTTCTGAGTGCTGGGATTAAAGGCATGCACCACCACTGCTTCCAATATTCTTAGTCTGAAGTAAGGATCGTTATTTCTTACACCAGGAAATTACAAGCAGATAGACTTTAAGGACCAAGGATCCTAGACACCCTTTGTCACATAGATATAACATCACTGCCAGAGGCTGTTGGTGCTGGTTCCCAAGATCTGCATGACACACGAGAATGTCCAATCATCTGCAGCTTCCTGATGCTGCTTGTGGTTGTCCAAAGCACAGGATTATAAAAGTTGCTGAGTAGCCAGGTGGGGGGGAGGGGCACACACTTTAATCCCAGTGCTTGGAAGAGGCAGATGGATCTCTCTGAGTTCGAGGCCAACCTGTTCCACAGAGTTGAGTTCCAGGACAGCCAAAATTACCCACAGAAAAACCCTGTCTCGGAAAAACAACAACAAAACAGTTGCTGAGTGTTGGGATGGCAGGTAAGTTCAACTTGAGTCTATATCCTGAGAGCTGTGGGTCTCTGACACCTAGAGTCTATTGTAATGGGCCTCTGACTCTTGGGTTCTTTGGTAACTAAATGACCCTGGCCAGCTGACTGATGGTCAGTGGAGGGACAAATGATGGTACCTCAGGACCTTGCCTGAGTGCTTGTCTAGCCAAGTCTCTTTTGAGCCACATTCATTATGGGGATGATCCTGCCCAAAGACCAGCCCAGGGACAAGCTGTCTATAGTGAGGCAAAATACCTCATAGTGTCTCTGCCTCCTATTTCATTTTTGAAAGGAGAATCGAGATGTGGGGCCTACAGTGGCTAGTTTTATGTCAGTTTGACGCAAACTAAAGTCACTGGAGAAGAGTGAGCTGCACTTGAGAAAATGTCTCCATAAGATTAGGCCTGTAGGGTATTTTCTTAGTGATTGATGTGGGAGGGCCCAGCCCATTGTAGGTGGTACCATCCCTGGCCTGGTGATCCTGGGTTCTGTAAGCAAGCAAACATGAGTGAATCATGGGGAGC